TATATATATATAATGTGAATCAAAAGAGGCGGGATCTGTGATAGGTATATGTCAACGAACTTGGAATGAAATTTTCCTTAACGAATACTTCAATCGTACATGGATATTTAAAGTCGAGAGTACTAAGTACATTCGATATTAAAGCACGTGATAAAGTCTTACTTGTTTTAATACGCAAATCTAAATAATAAGGTACTTAAATAAGATACTTAAGTCAAAATACTTAATATGAAAAGATGTTAAGGAAAGAATTGCCTCAAATTCGAGGACACATCCCTCTCATCGACTCCCTTTTTTCGCCTCAGATTCGCTCTGTATGTATATTTAATAACATCTTTATTTCTGTGTATATATCAATATTTCATTTTTCTTTTCTCTTTCCCATCTGGGAGTCAATAAATATATTTCTTTATTCGAGTCCCCAAGGGTAGAAAGAAATCGTCGCAGCTTTTGGAGTGAGAGAATTAAGTCGTATGTATTCTCCTGTCAGAGGAGCTTTGATAAAAGGATTCCTTCTTTCTCTTTTCCTTTCTTTTTTTGAATTGGTTATACGATATACATTAAAAGTAGATTTATACTTGATTTGACACATATGATTGAGGTTTCGAGCAAGTTTGTCCGCTGCTTAGCTCGCATCTCACAGCCTAGAGGTGATTTAAATCCAGGGCGCGGTCCCATTTTAAATGGGACGCGCCGCAAAACGCCGCACTATACCCCGACAAATGCCAAGCCCAGGTATTACGATTATTAAGTCCTTAACAGCAGAGTGCACTTCCGCCGCCCGCGATTCACGTCCAAAGACGCGCACGAAAATATTTCTCAAAAGAACTTTTACCGAGAAAAGCATCTCGGAAATATTTATACTATTCCTCGAAGAGGATATTCTTCAAAAAGTACTCTGAGAATACTTCAGGGATATACTCTGCAAAGACGAGAATATCTCGCAATCGATCTTGGACCCAATCGGCAGACGATTTTAAAAATATATATTTTTAATATTTATATTTTTATAAATAAGTATAACATAAATATTAAAAATATATTTTAAAAACATTGTCTGTTGATTTGGAGTCTTTGATCATCGAATAATTTTGAATATATATTCTTTGGAAAGAAGAATATTCTCGCGCTTCGTATTTCTCTTACAGAAATTTAATATTGGAAGATTAATTACTTATTTTGAATTGAGAATTGTAATTCTCAATTCAAAATAAGTAATTGAGAATTAATAATTACAACTACAAAAATTACATCTAAATTTTAAAGCGTCCTGATTGAAATATAAATTACAAGTGAATCTCCGCCTTTCTTAGAGGAAGGTTCAAAATTTTTTACTTACAATTTAGAACTTCATAATAACAATTATACAGATTGTACCACCGTCTAAAATTTTTCGCTTTGATTCCAAGTGACTCGTTATTGTAGTCGAAAGTTAAACTGGATTTCTGTAAGGGTTCGAAATATACTGCAGAAACAGAACAAATGTCCAACAGCATTTAGATTTTCCATTGATCAACGAGTAAAACGAAACAGTTACATTCGCGGTTTGACTGTTGCTTTTACTCGCCATCTGAAATAACTATCTTATCTTCTATTTTGCAACAATGGGAACTCCTTTATAGCCAAAGTATTGTGCGCATATTTTTTTATCTATTCACAATGGGTCGCATACGTGTCTCACTGTGTTTTCTGTCACAGTTCGCTTATTCAGTCTTTTGCGATCTATTTTCTACGAGATGCAATTATAAAGAGTTACTCTTGGTATTAACAAAGGTGGAGAACACGTTCCAAGTATCATTCTGTTTCCGCAAAGCGAACGTAAACCATGGACGCCGGGTGCATCTTTTGCTGCCGATAACACGCACTATCAGCCGAATAGAATGAATGCGGTGTAAGTCGTCTTTATACTCTATCGAATTTCGCTATTAAACTAAGGAGAGCGGAGGATCGCGGTAGCGTCCAGATTCGGAATTATTCTCTAATTCTTGCCTCGCACCATTTTCATTCTTACCAGCCAAATATATATGTATTCTATATATATATTACACATACGCATTGTGTGCCATGTGGTCATTGTGCATTTAAAGTAAATACGACATAGTAAAATATTAAAGCGGCAGCAGAACACTGCAATACTGTTCGATCTGTGTAAAGGATCCTCTCGCTTTTTCTTCTTTACTTTCTTCTACTCTTTTTCCCTTCCTTCTTTATATTCCTCTTTAAATCCTTTACAATAAACACACGATCGTTTTTACTTTTTTCCGTTTTTTTTCCTTTTACTTACATATTTATATACAACGTGTGTAGAGGGCTTTATCCGGCAACAGTTCGACTCGAGTATATTCGCGATAAACTTTCTCATAATGTCAACATGTCTCGAATAAACTATACAGTGCCAATACCTATCGAATAAGATAAGTACACATAAAATATATGCAATCGATAAGTAACGTAATAAAATTATAAAGTACATGTCGTAAACATCGTGGACGAGAGAGATACATACACATATATATACATATATATATATATATATAGGGAGAGAAGATAATGTATATGTATATATACCATATATGGTTTCCTATACATTTAAAGTCCCTATGTTTCAGATACTCGTTCGTCGTAATGCAATCGGTATGAAGATATATATTACTTGCATATATCCGTCAAATTAGCGTCAAGACGAGAATTTCGCTATACTTTCGATGATCGTTTTCGTGAAGTCAAGGATCAAGTCTTGAAATATTCTCCATTGATACGACGCTTCCTTCTTTTTTCTCGCTTTAGGGCATTCGACGTAATTTGAATTCACGTTACGTATTTGTATTCAAGTTACGAAGACGAAAATAAAACAATTTAAATTAAAAATTTTGAGATATATTATAGGAATCTCTTCTCCCCTGATAATTTAAATATTCTTCTTTGTCTACTTGTCACTAGCGGGTTAGCGATGTCGGTTCACGCACACCCGTTTTTTTAATAATACACTTTCATGTGGTCATCATAATCAACGTTTTCACGTCTTCTTTTTTGCTAACTACAGATATTGTAGGACAGTGCATGTACTTTACAATGAACAATGTGAATGTACATATATATGTATATATACAATATACAAGAATGCATCCGAAACTATCACGCTTCTATTTCTTTCCAAATGGTGTTAAATTTCCCTCACAATCAGTGAAAATTCAAGTGAAATTCCATTTATTGTATATTGCAATATTTTAATTTTTAACAGCGAATGTGTTTTATATTTGTAATTAAATATTTAGTAAAATAAAAAAATTAATTAGAAAATCGAATTATTTCGAAAGTTATTAATTTCATGATTTTGAAACACTCATTTTAAGATCAGATCGAAAAGATTCGATAGTTTCGTTACATTTTATACAGTTAAAATGACTGTTTTCATCATCTTAATCGTTTCGCTAGTTGCAAAACTTTTGCAGAAATTTGACAAATCGTGCTGCGCAATCTCGCGTAATTTTTAGCACAATTTAACTTATTCACGGACACTGATTAAGTAGTATTAAGTATCGATAAATATTACATTGAACGCTAGTCGCAAAGAGTTATCTCTTTCTCAGTCCCTTCATCGAGATTTTTTTTCGTCAAAGAAAGTCCAAAGAATCATTCGGCACTAAATAGAATTTACATCGTTTTGATAATCAGAAACTTAAAATAAAATCATTTTAAGATCATTTTAAGAATAAAAGTGATTCAAATAAAATTATTCAATTTTATGTCAATGATAAAAAGCAATTAGCACCAGATCGAATAATCTAAAAATTAAACTCAATTCTTTAGTTTAAATAGCTTTAGGGATGAGAATGACTTGTATTAGATTAATCTTTCTGTCCTCTCTCTTAACATCAGTAAAGAATTTAATTTATTCTCACTAGATAATTTAATAGAAATTACATTTCGTCAAGATTTCGTAATTTAATAAAAATGCGTCGATTTGTCGATGACGTCGAAGAAACTGAGAAAGGCGACTACCCGACGTGATCATTTCGTGCGGTCGTTAATCAATTAAGTATTATTAGAGAGGCCTATCTAAATGAAGCGCAGCCGGAAACGAGGCTACGCGCAAAACGTGACATGCACACGACATTTAATGTAATTAGAATTATTTTACATACGCTAGCGCTATATATATATATATTTTTTTTTCGATGAGATTCGGTAAGATCGCCGCGTATTTTTGACATTGAGTCTTTCGGGTTGCACTCCTCGTGTCACGATTCAACTTCACTTGGTGTTATCGATTAAGTGGTAGTGGCATCTTGGACCAGTAGGCCTTAAAGAGGATACAAACGCGCGCGAATGTGTGTACGAATATGTGTCTGTACGTCCTGCATGTGTGTATGTACGTAAAGATTTCCGCGCGAGACTGGAAAAAAGAGCGGGGTCCCAATCCCCGAAGGAAATGCAATAATACTCGCGACATACTCGTCGTCGTTCTCTATTATCAAATACACATATATATTATATAACCATAATAAAAGTCGGCACTATCCTAGGCTACTCTAGATTCACCTATATCAAGCAATAAAATTATATACGTACCTACTCGTATTCTTGCCCTATTAACGACAATGCATGTAGAAAAATGAGCCTCTCGCGTCTTTGGTTAAACGCGAAGCATTTAGAAAGTAGTCTGGCAGTGGTTTCGTAGATGCTTCGACCTTAGCCTCGGACCAAATTTTGATTTTTTTCCCCCCCCCTTTTTCTTTGCCATTTTCTTATTTTTATTTTCTTCTTCGTTTTAGACGTGGTTTTTAGTAGTTGCGAAAAATTGAATCGAAGTGACGTTTTACTCGGGACTTGTCTCATTGAGCTACAGTTTTTTTTGTACCGGCGATTTTTTTGAGAGATGCACAATGTGCTCTGTCCGACGAGCTCGGCCGAGCTCGACAGGTTGTCGAATTCGAATTTGAGCAGCTTTCGCTGCCGTATGCGACCCTCTTCTGACGCGTACATACCTGACACATAAACTCGCACGTTCAACGCTCAAAAATTCATTCGAAGAAAAACCTATCCTTTGGCATCATCGCATTTGGCTTCATCATCGGATGACGAATGGTCATCGCGGTCCACATAATAAGTCAGCTTCAGTAAAACTTCCTTTTCCATATCCGATATGAACGATCGTCATCGTCATCATCCTCTTCTCCTTAACGACTTTCAGAGTGTGCGGCGCAAGACAAGAGTGACTGCCGCAGACAATGGCACAAGAGTAGTATGTTCCTTAAGGTAGTGTCGTTTAGGTCACTGAGAAGTAAACTAGAGCTCTGCTTCCGCAAGGCAACGGCATCAATTCCCGTCGGTTTAGTTCACGAGTAGATGGTAATCACCTCCCGTCCGCTACCCCGCACCATAAGTACCCTCTCTAAGCCTTCGGTGAGCACCTCGAGGAATTCCATGTCTGATTTTAAGCAGTAAAGGAAGTTTAATGGTCTTTTCTATTTTTTATTATATTTTTCTATAAATTAACTATAAGTTTTTTTACTCTGGAATTTATCTCTTACTTATTAGACTATAGCTAATAACACAGGCTTGTGATAAAAATTCTTTTAACAATTTTAGTTGTTTTTATTATAATTCATAATGAAAACAAAAAATCATATCGAAATGAAACAAAATGCATTTTTAAGCTAAAAATTAATACTTTCGTGTGATATTAACGAAATATAGAAAAATTTTGTTGTACTACATCATGAAAACCATAATCATCATTTTTAGCTTCTTTAACATTATTTTTTTTGAAATTGTGACGTGATAGCCAATTATGGACAATGAATTCAGCACACTAAAATATATTCAAAAATTAGCTACAATTCTTAAAAAAGTTTTTTCTTTATAACAAAATGATAATTTTTTGAAACTATGCATATTTTTAATGAAAAGGATACAATTAGATTCACGCTCCATTCTCGTGTCTCGCGGCGGTCCGGGAAGATTCAGGATAACCAGTTGAGCCTCGCTGCTCATTTTACGGATTACTTCGTTCAGCTTCAACGAAGTATGCATACGTCTCACGTCACCCTCGTCGCTGTTACAGAATTATTTGTTAAAAAACAAATCGTTGCTGAAGTCAAGAAAAAATAATCACGATACTCACGGTGTAATCGTGGGTTTCTTAATCTCCGGACTTTGGTTTTTGTTTTCCTCCGCGTCGTTTTCTGTCTCTTTTGCCTCCGCCTCCTTCGCTTCCTTCTCCATATTCTCTTTATTCTCCGCTTTGGGCGAGCCGCCAATCAGCTTTGTCTCTTCGTTATTCTCTTTAGCTTCGTCTTTATCATTTGCCTCCTCGGCATCGTCTTCCTTGTTATTTAATTCGGTTTCCTGCATCAGCTTTGTATCGTCGGTTATATTTGTACTCTGGTTACCCGGCTCTTGGAATCTCACTTTCGTTGGCACTTTGGCATCCACGTTGTGATGGTGATCTACAATCGCCTGTACCTGTATCATGGTAATGCGATTGAGCGAATAAGAAAGTACTTTATCCTGTGGTAGGAGACAGTCAGTTGAGAGGTGACTAATCTAGCGTCAAAGCACTATGGCCATAAAATCAATACTATATCTATATAAGCAATCGTGCCAATTAAGCTGAAACTGAGAAACGCGGGGAGTTCCTGAGATCGTGATGGATAGGAAGAAACAATCTTGTAATCGCTAAATAAAATAATATAATATCTAAGAAGTGTCTCCAAGAATTATCTCCAAGATTGGTATTGAATTTCGAAAATCAAAAGTTTAAATTTGCAAAGCAAAAGTTTCAAGTACTTACTTTCACTTACTTTCACACTGTGTCTACTATTTCATTTTAGAAATCAACTTTTTGCAAACTTTCTATAATCTATAATATATAATGTTTTTAATTTAAAATTTTATAATTTAAAAAAAAAGTATTTAATTCATTACACTTGTAAAATATTAACTTGCGATCCGCGATCGTTTCTTCCACTTTGATATTAAATGGGAATAGGAATGAGAATGTTATGATATTATGAAGGAGGAATTCACAATAAAATTATCGGTGCAATGGAGAGCAATGATGGGAAAGAGGCATACATGGAACTCCGGGGGTAATCTGACAAACCAGAGGTAATTTTTCCTCGGCGGGTACCTCGTTGAAGTCCACCAATCCCTGCACCTTTATCCGTGAGGAGCACGTAACAAACAGACACACACACCGATCAGTATCACCGTCACCATTTGTTGTTACTTAACATTATATGCCTGTACATATTAGTATAATAAATTTTCCCCCTTTATCCAGAATTCAACACTTACCACTCCTAGTGACTGCTTCTTGTTCAGTTGCAACTCACGTAACATCTGATTTCTTTGCTCCATAATCAAAGTGCGCTCGTATGTGTACGCGGAGATGTCGGTGTTCGTCTGCAAACAGATCAAGACGCGGAATATGAATTTACCGAAGTAATCGCGATATTTTTATTATTAAATATTTTTAATCCATTTTCAAAAAATAAAATTTCCTAAGGAATTTAATCTTTTCTTATATTAAGATTACTGTATAATGAGATTACCATTTCGACAATCTCGACTTCCGCCTCGATTCTCAGGTCGTACAAGAACTTCTTTAAATCCTTCTTCATCTGTATTGAATTGTCTTCCATTTGCGCGACCGTAAAAATCCTCATCTTACAGTTCTTCCAGGTACGATGTTGTTTTAGTAAGAACGGCAGTAGCATTAATAGGCCACCATCATGCACGATCCACCAGACGTCAATGTTGCCGATTATCTTCTCGCTAGAGTCCGGGAAAAAGTTTATGCCTTTGGGCACTAGCAATGCCATCTTCGCGGCTGCAACGCTCCTTACGGTCTGCAGAAAGACTCGCCAGGTTCTATCCTCTTCCGACTGTCGCCAACCATAAGGCCAACCCAATATCACCGTATTCGGTTTTAGTCCGCCAAGCCCAGTGTTTTGTATTAATGAGCTCAGCCCTTCGACAACATTTTTCGCAACGAGAACATCGACGAAGCCCTTCACTCTTTCTTCCGCCGCAGTTTTCTTCAGACTCTGCTTGGCCGCTAGTGCTTCACCCGAGTTCTGTGTATAGTCACCGGCGATACAGCTGACGCTAATGGTGAGACCCTTGCCAGCTTTAAGCTGACTAGCGAATGCGAAAAGCTTGCGATATTTAGGTACCAAGTCATCGGTAAGTTTGGCGAGGATCAGGATCTGTGGACGCCAATTCTTCGTATGTGGTGGACCCTCTTCGAGCCTGAGCAGCGAGTATCTGGCAGCGGATAATGCCAGACCGCGAATACCGTCACCCCATTCCTTCTCGGCACCGCGATATTCGATATACTTGTAGATACAGCTGGCCATACCCATCGCTAGCAATGCGTAGTACCAGCTAGTCATGAACATGATAGCGATGCAAAGCGACAGGCCAAGGAACGACAGGCTCCAATGATAATATTTGAAGCGTGGCCGCCAATTTGGCGTACGCAGCAGGGTCTGCAGCGCACAAGCAAGATTGACAAAGCCGTAGCACATGAGGAAGAACATGGATAACAATGGTGCCAAGTAATCCACATTGCCAAGTAAGATACCGCACTGGCAAATTCCCACAGTGAGTATCAAAGCACGAGTAGGTTCGCCTCGACTGGAACTGGCAGCGAATGGCTTCAGGAAAGGAATGATGCCATCTTTGGCGATTGCCTGTAGTAATCGCGGTGCTCCTGTCAAAGATTGCAGACCGGCACCCAAGGTGGACAGAAACGAACCGATCAGGATTACCCACTGATTCGGCCACGCCATATTTGCCACCACCAGTTTACCGCCGATACTCTGACCGAACTTGTCACGTAGCAGCAGATTGTCAACAGTCCCGGCAAAAAGGAGGACGCTGGACAGATAGACGGTGGAGGTCGTCAAGATCGCGCAGATCGTTCCGATTGGAATGGATTTCTGAGCGTCAGCTAGATCACCGGATCGGTTAGAGCCCGCCATAATACCTGAGTATTAATGTTGTTAATATTAAAATAAAGATTTTAATTAAAATATTGCTTAAATAAATTAATTAAAAATTTCTTATTGAATTACTTAATTCTCCATAGCTAACGATAAGTCTATTGAATTATAATAATATATAATTGAATTCATTCAATTATAAAATCTCTTTATAAAAAAAAAATGTCATATAACTCAATCTTCTTTATGTTATATGCAAATTTGGATTATTCTTTTAATTATTATATTTAATATTCATTCTTTCTTATACGAGTTATATTATTTCAGTTCCTTGAAATTAATTAGTGTCTTTTCATTAGCATAAATTAAATTAAATAAGTCTTACAAACCCAGCGTCAGTGACTGTGTCTGTAACTGCATTACAGATTTTAGCTCCGGAGGTTTAATTAGAACTTATCATAAAGACGACATGAACATAACGCTGCTGTTAATTTGCTTACCCGTCACGGAAGGGAAAAATATGCCGATGAGAATAGTAAAAGTTGTGGTGAGATCGACCTGGATCTGGTTATAGCTAGATCCTGATAGGACATCGATGTCCTTCGGATTATATCCGTGAGCGATTAATTGACCCTGCTCTTGGAAACTGTCCCATATGTTCTCTGTATAGCAAAAAATAGAGAGTGTATTTGATATTTTATGAATGTATTTTTGTTTTATAGTATATTTTATATAAATTTTATTATTGTTACGTTAATTGACATTATTTCTTTTCAATGATATAATTTAATTACAATCTCTCACCTAGGAACACGCCGCTCGCCAAGCCGCGGATACCGTTGGCGATGGTAAGATTGTTCTCGAGATAATACGAATCGCATTTCGTGCCATTGCAGTAAATATTGTGCAAAACACCGTTGAAATTTTTATTGCAATCTGTTAAAACGTTGATGTCCTTTAATAGCCTTCTGCCGAGCAGGCATAATCTAAAACAAGAGACAAAGTCTCTTCTTTAAAGTGCTCGTCCTTCAGTTTTTGTCTATTTTTTAATAGACGATAATTATAATCACTTATCATTGCAGCATTATAATCGCAACGATATTCCGACAGTAATGACTACATAATGTGAAAATTAGTGTCGTAAATTAGTTTAATACTTTAGAGACTCGTTGCCGTTAAAGTTTACGAAGAGTCCCACGTAAACAGCGAAGATGGATAAAATGACGCAGGCCAGTGCGACGGTGGCGAACTTGTTAACGAACTTCACGCCCACGAAGACAATAGTGCCCATTACCATCAGTAAGGCGGAGCCGTACACACGGAAGTTGTTGTACATAATGCTGGCGTCTTTCGTGAAGTCGCCAAATATGCTGAGTGACGGCGCCATGTAAGTCTGAGCGAAAATTTCATAAAGTCAAGAAAAGTACGTTTCTTTTGGTTTCGTTAAACCATATTAAGTTTTATGTCAGACTACAGTTAACTATACGCAATTCGTGGTGATTTGCTTACTTTGAAAAGAATCACCCTGCTGGCGAATTGACGCGAATGATAAACGATAAACGTGTCCATTATACAGTAAAAAATACTTTGTATTTATATCAAAATCGATCCTTGTTAAAATTTTTTATTGAATTTTTAATATATTCAAGTGTTAATTTAACACAATAATTATGTTATTTGAATATTTGTGTTAAATTGATTGAATATTTGTGTTAACATGTTGTCATTTCTTGACATTTCTTAATATTAAAATAATACAATTTATGAAATGAATAATTAACATAAAAATAATGTATTTTAATATGTGCAAATCTTAAGATAAATAAATAAATTATGTTATTATAAATGTGAAGAAATTTACTTCCACAATTTGTTCCTTTTTTGTGTTAATATTTATGTTACTTCCTGATATGTTCATCTTGTGTTAAATTAACACAAAAATTTCGGATTATTTAAGTCATATAAAATATTAAATTTAAGATAAACTTTTCAACTGTGTAAAAAATATTTCTTTGTTATTTTTTTACATAATATTTATATAATTATTTCCTAATATATTCCTAATATATTCATCTTATATTAAATAAACACAAAAGTCGACCACTTGGGACACATGTGTTAAATTTTCCAACTATACTTATTATTTGCATATCTCATGAATAACCACTTTCAAATTTCAAACTATCTTGAATCGCGCATAGTCTGGCGCAAGCTTTACGGAATCGTGCAAAAATCTGTCGTAATACTTCACGTACAATTTACAACGTATCTTTTACATATCAGATATACTTTGCAAGTATAATTAATCAAAACGTGATAATTGATAATCCTCAATTAATCTTAAAGTAACGACTATGAAACTCCGCGATACTTTCACTCCTATTTCGAAGTATAAGTCAATTATCGCGATCAACTGATTAGCGGGAAGCCTTATTAATGTAACTTCGTTAACTAGTCGATACTCACGAGGACGATCTCGACGGCACCGATGATGTACATCGCGGCGGCCAAGGTGGTACCAGTATAAAACAACATACCCACCGCGCCGCCGAATTCTGGGCCTAAGCTCCTCGAGATCATGAAATAGGAACCACCGGCCGGCACAACACCATTAGTAGCAATGGCACTCATACTGATCGCCGTCAGCATCGTCTACGCACACGAAGAATAGCTGTTTGCATTTCCCAAAGAATTTCAATTCGCGAGAAACTATCCGTTTTCGGTCTTACTAGATTCTCAAGTACTAATACCTCGATATCTTGATCAAAGAAAATCGATTTTTCAGATTAATTAGAAAATCTGCCAGTGATACTTAGTCCTCTTTATTGTTTCTTCTCTCTTCTTTTCTAGATTTAAATAAAGAAAGAAAATGGCCAATAAAGAGCCAAATAAGGTTGGAAAAATGAAAACTATATTTGAGTAGCTGAAATGCAAATGCTGTTATATTCAAAAATAAAAAAAAATGAGATATTGAAATCCTTGGACTTCTTAGTATCTTGGCCATAAATTGAACATTTAAAATTATCCAGCCAAGTCTATAGAAAGCAGATTTTTTTTAAATATCTGCTACACACTATGTCAATAAAATGACAACAGAATAATAATATCGGCAGGATCTGTTCATTTTCTGCCAACAATTTGCCTTCACATTATGTCGACAGGCGATGTTAACAGAACACAAGCCTAATGCGAATCAACGCAGTTGATGGCAGACTGCCGTCATTTTCTGCTCGAACTTGCTGACAGTTTGTTAGAAAATTGCAGATATTTGGCTATCTGGGTATATAAAAACAATTACATTTATATAAAATCAAGAGAGAGAAGTAGATAAAGTTGCAAAAAAAAAGTTAATCCCTATTTTGATACTATGACTAATCTATTAGATTTACTAATTTTTTTTATTATTTTTTAAAAAATTTGTTTTATCAATATTTTCTTTATGTTCAATATTTTTAAATATTTGTTGTAAATATAAAAGAGGAAACAATATATTGGTATTTTTTAAATAAATAACTAAATGTGATTTATAATATGCACTGTGAAAAAAAAGTTACAATATTCGCAAGCAAATGTTACAAGTGACGTTTTTTTCGATATTTATTGGTTATAAAAACATTTGATAGTGATGGAGAAATATGCATTTCTGTGAAATATATCTCATTAATTATAAAAAAATAAAATAAATGGTTTATTTGTTAGAAATAAAACTTTATTTCGCCGTATTTAAATAAAGATTTATTTCAATGAAATAAATATTATATCTCATAAATAAATTTGTAAATATCTTTTTTTAATGTAGTATGTAACTTTTGTTATTAATAGGATAATAAAAATGCTTTGAGATCACAAAAATTCTAAATTTAATTCAGTAACTTACTCTAATTAAAAATTTAATTGTTTTTGCATTAATCGTTCAGTTTCAAAATTAGCTAAATCCTTTCTTCAGTTACAAAAACAGTCAAATGCATTATATTTTAAGAAATGATGTTTTTCATGATATTTCATACATATTTTGTTAATTAAAATAATAATTTTTTTTAAATTTCAAAGAAAGATTTTATTGATAGTTGAAGTGAAAAATTATACAAGCTTTCGCCAAAAAACATGTAAAGTGAAGATAGCTACTTTTGCAAATAAGCTATTCATTTATTTCTAAACAGAAATGAGTAAAAATGAGACTCTAAGAAATGATTTTGTAGGTGCAAGTTTCAATTGTTCTAAATCTTTCACTTTTATAAATTTTTTAGTTTCCTATTTTGGGAATAAATATAACTTTTATTTTTCCAATTTTATTTGGCTCATATTAATAACCATTTTTTTTAGGCATTGTATAATCATAAGTTTTTTCAATCTTGATAGTCTATTTCTCATGCAGTTATACTCTCTAAATGAATACTCACAACGCAACAGCAACAGAGCACGATGCAAAAGCCCTGAATAGCGCCGGCCGTACCGACTACCCATGTCAGACGGATAAAGAGGATCACACCAAAGATGTTCTGGATACACGGCAAGTAAACACCTATGAGAGTACCCATTCGTGCTCCGCCTCCCGCAGCCGGGGCCGGTTTATCCGGGTCAGTCGCGGCAGGGATGGTGTTGCTGTAGTTCGCCAAGCTGTTGAGCAATGTCGAGATCCGCGGCCGGTCCTCCATCTCCTCCTACAAGAATTTATTTTGATTTTTGTTTATCCCTCGATTGCACGTAATTACAGAATTCAGAAATATCGTTTTTTTATCTGAAGTATTTCTCCTCTTGTAGTATTCTCGTGAATGCAATCAGGATGTTTAAATGAAATCTTGCAAAAAAATTCCTTGAGAATTCCCGAATTTTCCAAATACTTTTGTTCAAAATTTCAGATAAGATTAAACAATTTTTTAATGCACTTTGAAATAAATTAGAGTGTAAGTAACACAAACAAAATATTATATATTAAATTAATAAAAGATTAGAAGTCTACGAGTCTAATGGATGATAGTCTGTTCTTACTTTAACACCGTCTTAAATAATGTCTTAATATGCTAATCAACTATGAATATCAATTTATATCTATCGTTTTCTACAATTGAAGTTGTAAAACCTACACGGAGAGAATTTTTTTTTTAAATTTACTCCGAAAATATGATAGTTGTGATATAATATAATATTTTAAAGATTTTTATCATGCACTTTAGTAAAATTAATCAAATTTATTTTATACTTTATTGTAATTTTATTAATGAATGAGAAAGATTTATATTAAAATTCTTGGAAATACAATGTTGTGCCACGACTATTTTCAGGATAAATTCTAAGAAAAAATTCTCTCCGTATATAGAATAGTATAGGAAAGACTTACTACAATATAATATAATATCAGCTTTTCTTTTCTATTGAGTATTATCTTCTATTGTCATTCTGATTTTTTTATAATAAAAATTCGCGAGATATACGTGAGAATATACGTGAATATACGCGAATGTGTGTGCCATTTATAGCTAACCTATTGTCAACATTTTTTATTATCAAGAAAAAATGATCAAAAAAAAGTTGTTTTCAGAAAAAAAGTTTTCAGAACAAAATTTCAGAGTAAAATTTCATAAATTTCCTCACAAAAATCCCAACAAAATTCCATAAAGATTTTTGTGTGTGTGATTTTTAATAATAAAAAATCTTTAAAAAATTTCAGATTTTTTGTATTTTTCCAGATAGTAAATATTCTGGCGGTGTTTCAATAAAGGAGAACTTTTCTAACGTAAACCATAATGCGACTTTACGATTTATGTTCCGTTGGATTCGACAACTCGAATATTTTATCCAAAATTTAAGGGCAAACTTGACATTTACAAATTGCAGCCGTCTGATCACGTATAGACTTTTTCTACTTCTGTACGATCACGTATGGACTTTGCTACTTTTATTCAGCTATAAATATATAAAGACACTTTTTCTATTTTCATTTGGTCGCGTATAGACTTAACTGTCGGACAAAGAACGAAACAATTTCGAGATTAACGATTCGTCCGATCAGTCATCGACTCTTATCACTAGCGTGCTCCTACATCACGAAGCGCGATCCTCGTCCGTCGCGATCCTATAATTTCCCGTGTTTTCGATTCGTTATTATTCCAAAAGGATGTCGCAACTTCATTTGCAATTTTATTGACAAACTTTTGCGGGAAAGTGTCACGTAACTCTGTCCGCCGGGACGCTTTTATGGAAATTGTTAGTCCCTTGTCATGTAAGTTTCTACTGCAACCTCGTTATGATGGTATTACACGTTGTCGATCTAATTTCGCGACGAATACTCTTTACATTAAGCATTCCGCTTGCATATCATACAGAAAATACAGATCTCTTTATATGTTGAATGTATAATAATAACATAGTAAGAAAAACGTTGGAGAACGTGAGCTGAAAAGATTTCTTAATATAAGAAGTTTTTTGTTTAAGAAATTGCAACGAGTTCCTGTCTTATCTCTAATCCACTGCTTTCACACGTATCTTTTTTATTTCTTTCATGGAAATTGTTAGTCCTTTATCGTGTAAGTTTTCGCTGCAACTTCGTTATGACAGTATAATGCCATCCAATTTCGCGACGACTATGTTTTCGACGATATTATGACATCGGATATTCCGTTTGCACATTATTCAGAAAACACAGATTTCTTTATATCAAATGTAATAATGTAAAACAAATGTTGAAGAATGCAAGCTAAGAAAATCCCAACATACGATAATTTTCTTGAAGAAATTGCAACAATTTTTTCGTCTATCTTTAATCTACTACTTCCACAGATCTTTTTTAAGAATCAGAACTGTGTTTTAAGACTGACAAATAATCGGCACATAGTTTGCTTATATTGGAATTTGTAAGATTCGCATAAAATGTTATAATATTATAGGCTACAAGACTCGCTTTGGTTAAATATGATATTTCTCATTTATTTACATTAAAACCTCTTATATAGATTCGTAGAATGAAATAATTATTATTGAAATATAAATACAAAATGCCTAAACTGTCCTCCGAAATTGCTCTCTATTTTTTCCTTTTTTTTTAAATGTATTATAATTTTCTTGTTTGAAATTATTTCAATAAAATTTACAAGCGCGATAAAAGTACACTGCTATTACTTGTACACCTACTCAGGTTTATCTTCAATTGCGATGTTCGATCGAATCGAACGAGAAATACGAGAGTGCCGAGAGGGTTAAAGTCGCCGTGGAGCGAATTATCGGAAGAACGGAGCACAATACTGGCCTCGTGCGAGATTCATAGCTCGATAATAGCTCGCAATTTTAAACGGAATTGGGCAGATAAGGGAACTGAGCTGGACAGGAAACTCCGGCAGCTTTCTTACGGTAGAAAGAAAGTAGTACTCTTTCGTTAAAATTGCAAAGAGGAACGATGACAGAAGGAGAGTAAAAGAGAGTTCCTAAGTACGCGGCTTAACTTTCGTTATGAAAGAATTTCGTTAAGAAAGCAATTCAGAAAAGGATTCTCAGTGGTCACATAATTCCGTTCTTAGAACTCCATGCGAGACATTATTGAGAAAATTGCAGACGACAGTTGAAGCTTTCGTGAAAATATTTCGTACCTTTATGAAAAAAATTAATAATTGAGTGAATCCAATAGAACCACCGTCAGCTTTGGGGAGTTAATTATGTAATATTTAATAAGTAGCAACGTATGGATCATTATGAAAAAACATTATTAACATAGTATTTAAATTATAATTATTCGTAAAACATGAGAATAAGATGAATTAGAATTAAAAGAAAATATAGAAAATTGTAAAGAGATGAATAAAGAAAATGAAGTTCTTTGTGACGAATCATTTTTAGCAAAATACATATTCTGTTTGCAAACCGCGTTTTTTTTTTAATTACATAGTATGACATTTATTATACTATGATGACTTTATTATTTGCATCGAAAAATAAATGATTCTTTCGAGGAAGATTCTAGCAACTAAAAAAATAATTAATGAAGACGACGTGACGTAGACATTAAAACGTATACATTAAGTTAATGAATCGAGCTGTACGTTCTTTCTTTTGATAAAGTGAAAAATTTTTCTTTTTTTATCAAGATATGCATTGATTTTTCAGTAGATATAAATTAAATAGACGCGAGAGATTGATTTTTCAGTAAAAATAAATTAAGTTAAATTAAATTAATTTAAAGACCTCATAAAATAAGATCTGAATTGCCAAATTTTTCTTGTACTTACACTGTAGAGATACAGATTGGTCTCATATCCTGACTTCTTCTCGGAATTGGTGCTGACAATGGGATCGCCATCTCCGCCTGCGCCACCTCCATCGCCTGAAAGCAAGAAAAGAACGAGTAATTAATTATTCTGTCTTTTGTTTTGAGTTTTAAAGTTCTCTCTGAAGGGAAATTATATTAACTACCAGAAAAATACATTGATGTATCCATTGTTAATGGATGTATCCATTATTAAGGATATTCTCAAGAAAATTAGTGTTTCTTTCCAAAAATTGTATATGTAGAATTTAATTTAATAATTAAGTTTCATCTTCATAATTTGCTATATTTTCTTTTAACTTCAATTTCTCGTTTATTTTTACGTTTATTGAATAACTGAAACATTGTGTTAATAAATGTTCACAATGATTCGTATTGCTACTCGCGTTAAATATTACATAATTAACTCTCTGGAGTTGGCGATGGATTTATTAAACTAAATTATAAATTTCTTTGTCAAACAATTCAATTTCCTTTATGTTGCATTTAGATTGTACACATTTGGATTGTTCTTATCGAAATATACTTACAATTAGTATTAATTCTATTTATATATCTATTATCTTGGTTTCCTGAAATTAATTAATATGTTTTAATTAACTGCATAAAAAAAAATTGAATAAGTTATACACTCAATAACTGTGTTATAGATTTTATCGTCCAGTTCCAAAAGATTAATAAACGTATAATATTTTGTGATAAAGATTTACATCGTAAGACATGTATATCATCGCGCGAAAATCTGTAGCGACAATTGAATCAATGAGCAACGTTTATGAGATTCTTAAACTCTTTTAAGATACTTTGAGAGAGTCATAATGTTTACAACTGCCTGTTAGATGTTCAATATGACACCATAACTATTTTTATGATCGTTAAGTATTAATTATCAAGTCATTATATGTTCACGAAAATACATATATAGATTCAGTCGCAACATAAATGTTTGCTTCCCGAACACAAAAAAGTCAAAACTAGAAACAGTAAAACTGAATAAATAAGTATTTAAATATAAAAAAAAATCAAATAAAACATTTTATAAAAATTACTTTAATAATCAGCGACCAAGATAACTTTCAAAAATATACAATAAGTTGAATGAAAATAATCACATTGATATAAAAAATTTGCTTTCCATATTGCATTTGCTATTTTGAATTTCTATCATTTGATTTTAATAAGCAGCAATCCAAGAAACATGTAAATATTAAAAATTTGTTCAGTAGAAAACAATGTGTCCTGGAAAGATTAAAGAGTTTTCAATATTTAAAAAACAAATTGTATTTTCACGTACAAATTCGCTCTCTTATGTTACTCGGCCATATTTTATTTTCCTACATTTGCGCTTTCTCCCCACGTATTTCATACGCGAAAAGAAAGCCGGAGACTGGCGAAGATCTAACGACATTGAGATACCGTTAAAGAGCTAACTCCCAATGTAGCATTCCGCGATACAAATGGCAACGTTCCAACTGGCACGTACGATCGTTAATCGACCTGACAGAATTTTTATCAACGCGAATTCAGAGTCGGTCTCGTGAGGAGAGCTCAGGCCTCTTGACCCATTCGTCTCTTTCAACGAATCTCGACTCCCTCTTGGTATTCCATCAAGATGTTCATCCCAACAGAGAGATATTTCTTATCCAGCATCCAGCACGGAGAAATCACAATACTCGAATACATTTTGCCTTGATTGATTAATTGTTTCCCGGAAGACTCAATATTTTTTTTTTTTAAAAGGCGCATCTATAAAGTATGCAGATTATAAGCTATAAAATTGAAAATATTAATTTTTCAAGTACAAATAAATTCAAGTAAGAACAATATACTTTTTTTTAATGATATTGAATAATATACAGCCTTGACTATAAATATTGTACAAAGCACCCTTATAATTTATTGCATTTAATTTCTAAAAAACAATAAGAAAAGCCAAAGAAAAACTAACAAAATATTAAAATTATAGTGAAAGTAATAAGATATTAAAATTATAATAAAAAATTGTAATTAAAATATTAAAACTGTAATAAAACTGTAAATAAAAGTAAATAAATATTATTATTTTTCAATAAAATTGCTTTTAATTTATTCTTCATTAAGACATTTACGTCAATTTGTGATATATACTCATTCCAAGGAACAAATTAGCAAAATATGAAATATTGCAAACTATATTTAACTGGATATTGAATATCAAATTAGTAAAATAACATTTCTCTAATAAAGATATATGGATAAATATTATTGCCTCGTGAATTTATTTCACATATTTCAGGAAAATTGAGGCAGGAAAACTATTAAAATTACAATATTTTTAACTAGAAATATCAATAGTAAATAACTAGAAGTATCATATGTTTTTTATTCACTGAAAGGACCAAAGGAATAAATTACTATAAATTACTATAAAAATGAAGAAAGTGATGAAAAGTCAAATATTTTTTCAATAAAAAAGATATTGGAAAATTAAAAAAGTTCAGACTCCTATCTTTTATATAAAAAATATAATATTAATTTAAAAAATAAAAATAGTAATAATGACCATTTAATACTCCTAGTGTTAACCAAGCAATTTTTCTAATATGGAAATCTGAACAGGATAATTGTAAAGATGAAAGAGAGTGCGCGAGAAGGAAGAATGGGACAACAGCGAAGCGGATTATGCAACCATTCTTACATCGCGTCGACGAAGAGGCGAGCATGCTCCTTACTTAGTAGTCATGAGAGAAGGTTCCTCTTATCCCTGTCTACTTGAAATGCTCCAGCGTGACATATCAGAGCCACAAATTTCGCTCTTAATCTACTTGCGAAACAGACGAATAACGCTGCTAGTAAAACGTTACGCGATGGACATTACGTGAGGAACATAAACAAGACAATAGCTCTTGGCCGATGTATTCATAATTGTACTTATAGTCGGCAGCTTCCCTGGATCGTTCCGCGAATTAAATGCTAAATTTGTGAGATATGACGTTCGACATTTTTATATAATTATACCGCGTGACGTCGGAAATATATATATAAATATATTTATAGCGCAGATACCTGCTTAATGGCTGGAAAATTGAGTTATCCTTAGCTGACTGTAATCATATCGAAAACGCATCATCTTGCTCTATAAGAGCAAGGAAATTGAAACCTTCAGTTAGATGTTAGATAAAGCGATACTAATTTTTTCGTTAATAAAGTTGTATGAAATTGACGATCTTCAATTTTAAATATATTTTATTATACTATATTCAATTTTAAATATATTTTATTATAATATATTTTATTTTATTAACAAATTTATTATAACGTAGATTATAAAAAATCTAATTTGTCGTCGTTAATCCTCTGTGTATCTATTGGACCCACTCAATTATATCTTTTATAATATGTTACATTTACTTTGCATTATTGTTATTAAAATAAATTATATTAATATTTATACACATTCTTTTTTATACTATAGTTATATCATTTTGGTTCCTTGAGATTAATTAATTTCTTGTAGTCAATATGTATTGTTAAATATCAAAGGTGCAATAATAACAATCCCTTGAATTAACTTTTCGATTTTCAAACGAGGCAAATCGTTCACCTTAAAATTAATATTTTTAGAATAATTCTGTTATAAGATTTTAATAATTTTTGTTTGAAACAAATAAATACATAATATATACAATTTTCAAAAAGATATGTTTTATTTATTTACAGCGAGTTATTCGTTCCTCTCTCTTGGGAATATTATTTTATAATTATTTTCAAGAGATAATTTTCATTTACAACTAGAAAAATTAATATAAATTTTTAATAACATTTATGTTATTTACAGAATTGTGCACTAACAAGAATTGTATAAGAATTAAAGTACAAGAACTATAGATAATAATTGTTTCATTATTATTATTATAATTTCACAGTTATTCAATATCGATATAAATAAAAATAAATGATATTGTATCATATTTTTTATGCAGAAAAGTTTTTTAGAGTCAACCGTTCGCACCACTTGGAAACTTATGCTGAGAAATTAGCATTTAGTCGAAAGGTTAAATAATATTTTGTTATTTTTAACTTCCAAATGTAAACACATCCTGTAGTTTCAAAGTAAATAACGTCCATATTAATATACGCACTTAATAAATGCAAACTGACTGTTCACATTTTAGTGTAAACTAAATTTGTCAAATTTAATACAGTTTCTTGAGTTCAATTGTTTAACTCCATTGTTTTAAATTAACAACATATGAGTAGGTACAGCGGTAACCTATAGAAATATTAAAAATAACTCGAATTGGGTATAATCTGACATATTTTTTTACTTTGGCACCTCTGAAGAAACACCCGTGAAAGCCTCAAAAGTATCGAATTGGGTATAATCTGACATTATGAATTTAACAGAGTAAATTAAATGAATTTCACAGAGCCATTTAATTTACTCTGTTAAATTTATATGTCCCAGCGTATCAGTAACTGTGTTACAGATTTTGACGTCAGTTTCAGAGGGTTAAGCGGATATCAGTAGAACTTGATCAAAAGAAGATGATTGAATACTATTTATTAACGTCCATTAACGTTGAATATTCATCTTTTGACGTTTAGCAATAGCTTTATCGGTGAATAAATTTTACCATTAGGAAAGCATTGTTCCATTCATGGTCTGAATCATCGCATCTTATCCCGCGCGATTTTCGCTGGTTTTATCGACGGTGTAACATAACGGAAAAATGTTGAAATGGCAGAGAGAGACGAGCAGAGTAGGACTATGCGAAGTAGGTCGATGGTTTCGCGTGCAATGCCAAGGCTTCTCTGTATATGTTAGGAGAAATAAATATAGTCGTAGAGAAAGAGAGAAAGCGCAGAGAAGTCAAATAATACATGTATAATACAGGCGGCTGACGTATCCGAAGGGAAAAGCCGAGAGCCGTGTGTCTCGATTATTGTGGGATGCTTCTTGGCTGATGTCTGTTAACTTAGTTATATCACTTTGATCTCCTTATCCCTCGCGTCGGTTTCTTCCCTTCTCGCACCATCCCCTTCCTCGATGCTATCTTGTAACATGCCCGAAACCA